TTGGCCCAGCCAAACCAGATGAAGATGTTGAAGACTGTCTCACTAACACAAGGCAGCTCACCAGGTTCATGCCGGCTGAAGTCGCAGAAAGGCACCATGCAGTTGAGCACAAAGAAGGGCAGCCAGCAGAAGACAAAGACACCCATAATGATGGAGAGGGTCTTGAGGACTTTGGTCTCCTTTCTGAAAGAGTTCTTCAAGGAGGCCTCATGTGAACAGTCACTGCTGTGGCAATTCTGGGCATGCTCCACTGCCCTCTCTAGGGAGGAGATGCGGCGAATCTGGTGCTGGGCGATGCGGAAGATCCGTGTATACGTCACAATCATGATGGCAACCGGGATGTAGAAGCTGATGAGGGAGGAAGAGATGGCATAGGTCCGGCTGAGGCTGGAGTCGCAGTTCTCCTCCTGGCTGATGTTGAAGCTCAGCTCTTGTGGGGGCAGGAGCTCGCTGGCTTTGTGCCACTGCAGCTGCACAGGGATGAAGGAGATCAAGATGGAGAGCAGCCATGCCACCCCGATCATGACAAAAGCCACACGCCAAGTCATCTTCCTTTCATAGCGGAAGGGACTGGAGATGGCCCAGTAGCGGTCCACACTGATGACGCACAGGTTGAGGATGGAAGCAGTGGAGCACATGATGTCGAAGGCCACCCAGATGTCACAGAAGCCCCCAAAGGGCCAAAAGCCAGCCACCTCGGTAACGGCCTTCCAGGGCATCACTAGCACAGCCACGAAGAGGTCAGAGACAGCCAACGAGATGACAAAGAAGTTGGTGACCTTGGAACGCAGGTGTCTGAACTTGACCACGGCTGCGCACACCAGGGTGTTGCCCAAGAGGGTGGACAGGATAAGGAGGAAGAGGAGGACGCCTGTCACCACCCGAAGGGACAGCTCTGAGTTGGCTTCCTGCACCCAGCTCTCCCTGCTGAGGGTGTCATTGATCGTCGCCAGCCCGTCTCCCTCTCCAGAGAAGTAAAGCCCATCCATGAGTTCCCTTTGTGTCCTTGCTGTCCTCAGGGATCTCCCCAGCGCTAAGTCCCCATCAGCACAAAGCTATGTCTTTGTCACTCCTCTGCTAGCATCCCAGTGTCGCAGTTAGTGATCCTCCCGGCTCTCAAACTCCCGCAGCTCCGCCAGATCTCCTGGTCCCAGGAAGTGCTCCAACCTTTTGCTCCTTTCCAAAGCTCCTGCAGGCAGCCTGGCATTCTCCCCAGCTCTCGGCCACCTTTCTCCAAAGCGTGCGCACACACTTTTCTTTCTTTTACAGCCTGCTGCTCACAAAGAGCCCGTGCTCACCTCCTGCACTTGTGCAGGGTGGGTGGGCTCTGCTTCCAGCTTCCCTCCCCCCTCCTCTTTCAGCAGCTCATCAGCTCTTGCTGATCTATTTGCTGGCTGTACAATCCCAGTCAGTCCCTTTTGTACTGGCCAGGCTGGGACTTGCTGCCAGATGTGAGGAGGAACTGGGCTTGCTCTCTGCTGTTGCTGGTGGATGCTCTCTGCTTCTCAGCTCACACACCAGACTGTTTTCCTGTCTCTGCTCTTCCCTCTCTTGCTAACTTCCACTGGATTTCCCTCAGGTGAGATCTGTTCCCATCTCTTCTCATCTCACACCAGGTCCCTATTTGCCAGTTCCTGCCCAGTTTGTTTTTAGATGGGGTTGGAGGATCTTCCACTGAAACTGGGGAAGGTATAGGCTGCAGGGAAGGTCAGGAAACAGGCAAGAGGTTCTGGGGCTGAGGTGATGAGCAATCAGACAGGTCTTGCGTTAAACAGATCAGCAGTCAGGGTGGGAAACCAGGTCATGTTAATGCTCGTAGTGGCAGACAGCATGAGCAGATTATAGCAGCGGTGGATATGACACTGGAGAGCCAGGTTTTTTTCCCCACTCTGCCACTGCCTAACTGCACGGTTTTAGGCAGGACATTTTCCCCTCTGTGCCTCATATTTCCTTGTCACCCCAACATAGATATACTAGATAATGGTGTTTACTTTCTATTGTAAGAGATGTTAAAGTCTGTAGATGAACTACTGTATAAAAAGACCTCCAGGTATTAGAGTCTGATCTGCTCGTGGTCCTTTCCCTCCTAATGGCGCCTATCAGAGCGAGCAGTTATGCAGTGTTTTCTTTTAAGATTTGAAGGGAGTAGCTCTTATCTAAGAAAACCCCAAAGGTTGAACGCAGCTTGAGTGAGTAGTTTGATAGCAGGACTAAGTTTGTTCACTTTTAACAGAAAAAAACAAACAAGTTTCTCTGTGAACACCAGGTATGAATGCATTCCTTTTTTAAAGCATGGTGAAGGGGTGTCTCAAGCCCTCTACAGCCTACTCCGGCGCAGTGATGGGCTGAAAGCAAAAGCTCTTCCTACATTAGCATTCAATCCAAGTGCCTTTAGAGCACAGTCCCTTTTCCAGGCTGATAGGGACCTCTAGGACAGGGCTGACTAGCCAGGAGTCACTGCAAGGTAGTCTGTTCCCTGAGCCTCCAAATCAGGGGCAGACAGTCCCCCAGCATACATGCCAGTGTGGCATGTGAAGGCATTTTGCTTGGTGCACATGCCTCCAAGCAGATGGCAGAGAAGTGGCTAAAGCTGCACTGGCACAACAAGGATTGGGACCCTCACAGCTCCCTTGCCACCCACCCTGGTGTTCCAACATCTTCCAAGTCAAGGTTGTGGGTGTTTTTGGTACTCTGCCCAAAAACATCGCTGACACCTACTGCAAGTCATTCAGCAGTGATTTACCACTTCCCATCCCCTTTATGGAGTGCATCTGGGGAAAGCTAGAGTGGTCTCACCTTATCTCATCTACAGCATGGCAGGGTAAGCGGCTCGACTGCCTTGCTCTATATTTACATCTCATCTCCTAAGGGAGGAGAGTTTCCCATCACCACCAGGGCTAGAAGTGGAGGGGTTTTATGGCAATGCAGAATAGTGTTAGTAGTGGAACTGCCTCCCATTGACTCCCACTGTGACCCCAACAAGCCCGAGCCCCAGCTACTCTCCTCCCATCCTCCTTTGCATTAGGCAAGCCATGCTGCTGCATTAGGCATTAGGAATCGGGACTCACTCTCAGTTGCAGCTACATGTTAAAAATTAACAGGCTATATCCACCACCACTGAAACTCCATTGCCTTAAGTAGTTACAGCAGGGATCCCTTTGCCCAGGAGGCTGGAGATTTCAGTGCATGAGAAGGTGAGAGAGAGAGAGAACAGGGCCAAGAAAATCATTACTCCATTAAAACAAAGTGCCACCCCCTGGCACCTACATCCCTTTACAAGCCTTTTGCATCTGGTTCCCAAGCCAGCTCACTATCTGCACAGAATCACATCTGCTGCTAGTTACTAGAGAGATGACCTAACAACAGCAGTTCCCTCCTACCCACCCCCTTAGCTCCTGTGGGATTTCAGGCTACATTTCCTGAGAATCCAACTCTTAAGAAAGTGCTTGGCATTTAACTCCATAGACAGTTGGAGAAATCCCACCCTGGCAAATGCACTGAGAAACAAACAGCAAAAAAATCCTTCCAAGGTTAATGCCCCAAGAAACAAGTCCAACCTCAGCATTAAGCTTGTTAATTAGCCAGGAGTTTGCTGTTAAAATATTGCCATGACTTGAATCTCTGCCTGTACGATACACCATTTCTGAGAGGAAGCAGGTGCCAGTCTTTCATGGGGAAGGAGAAAAGAAAAACCCACAACCCTACCCAGCTTTTGTTTAATTAGCTGTAGCCCACAGTCCAGGCACTCTGTGATCCCACATTTAATACAAGATGTTTCAGGACTATTCAGTTTTCATATCTTTGAGGTGGAATATAGCTGATATACTCCTCTCTTCCCTCCCCATTCAGTCAAGACCGGGATTGTGTTTTTACCGAGAAGAGGATACTGTTGTTTCATGACATGACTTCCTTTGCAGCAACGTGCACATTAAAGGAACTAGCTAAATATTTTGCAGTACCAGCTTGCCAGGGCTTCATTTAATGGTCTCATTAACTCCATCACTTTGTAGCAAGCTCCTGCCAAGTGTTTACTCCAAGGAGGAGGACCCAGGGACTGAAGGCTGGTTTGCTCTGTGAAACTGTTATTATTACTTAAATTACGAAAATGGATTAAGGCATTTCAGCAAAGGCAGGAGGGCAAATGTTAAGCACAGAGACACCAGGCACTCCTGGCTAGGACACATCTGCAAAGAGAAAACCATGTCCAAGCAGCCAGCCATATGGCTTTTGTTGTCCAGATTTAGTGAGTTATACATAGATGCAGCCCATCCGAAAAAGGGCCTTGGCAAGCTGCAGCCTTGTGCCATGCACCAGTGTTATTGTGATAGGGCATTCCCCACTGTGCTCCCTCAGCACCGTCTAGATTGCCAGGTCTTTTAACAAATAAGGCACCCATGAAAATATAGCAGTCTCAGCACAGAGTTCTGTCTGGGAACTGAATCTTACCCTGCTGTCAGCCACGATACTCACAATACAGTTGGAGCCCACAAGGTAACCCAGCCAAGTTCTTGCATGGGAAGCATTTGAGTAAAATCTAGAGCAGGTCGTGTAGATTTATTAGTAGAGAGCACTCTTCCGTTGTGCAGTCATCCGGATCCCATGCATTGCCATGGAACTAGGGAAACAGCCTTTCCACCAAGATGCAGGACCAAGGATCTGCACTGCAGTCACCTTAAGTCACTATGCATTTCATGAGCGAAGCGGCTGACCTTTCAGTAGAGAATCAAATGGGTACTGTGTATATATTTTGCAAAGCACTTCTTCTGCGGGAAGATTTCATTTTGATGGCAACTCATTAGCACTTGATGTTCTTGTATTTTCTCTCGCTCATATTTCAGCAACAAGCCATCTATGTATTGCCCCTTCCACCATTTTCCTTTTTCTTTCATAGTTACAGCTTGATGTTTTCTTTCCATTTAGCCTGCTTGATTACATTCCCACTTGGAGTCAAAGCACGAAAATTGCAATCCACTTCAAGTAAGACAGCAGCTGCCTGGGTTTTAACTCTTATGTGCCACTGCCAGTCCTCCTAAAACAGCTGTTGTTGCAAGATATTTATATGTACATGCAGTAGAAGCACCCCATTTGTGGGTGTGTGCATGCCTGCACCCCCATCCCCCCCCCATTTTTTCTTGCTCTCTCATCACTTTGAACCTTGCCTCTCAGAGAAATAGAACAAGTGGAACTGGACATCAGCATGACGCCCAGAAGCAATGGTCACTTGTCAGGCAGCCTCTTCTAAGCAACAGGTTGTAGAGACAATGCAGAGCACAGCTCCTTTTCTGAGAAGCAGCCAGGCTTCAGGTAAATAGAGCTGGCTGGTGCATTGATTATTCATGGCTTGGTTTTTAAGATCAAAGCTGAAGGACCTGCCTATTTGTATTTAATAGACAACTTTTCCAGAAACAGCAGCACAGCTGGAGCTGCATTAATACCAAGATGATCAATGGAATATGCAGAGAAAAAGCACAATACACTCTTGATTTTTCCTCCCTTTATTACATGGCAGGTAGAAAAAAAACAGCAATCTTTTTTCCCCCTTTTGTAGAAAGGAAAGGAACACACTGATTGTATTTACTGTGATTCTGTTTTTAGCTCACGTGAACTGCTTACCTGCTGCACCTTGCCCCTCTGAGGAGCTTGCACTCAGGAATAGTAGTGGTGTTGGTGAGGGGATGTGGTAGAGGAGCTGACTGTGTTCAGATGCAGCGCATTGAAGTTACCTCCCTGGCAGTTCTCTCTCTCATCTCCAGAAGTTGGGCTAGGTCTAGAGCTCCTTTTTCCCTGCTTTGATTATTCCATGACTCATTACTGCTAGTTCAAGCAACCTGTCCTTTGTGTGCCCTGGGAAGTGGGCAGCTACTGGTAGCAGAGGCAGGCATGAAACTAGTACAAAAAAATAATACATTCTACCTCAAAGGAGGGACAGAAGCAGGACACCAATTACAAACAAACACCTACTCAGTGAAACCCCACAGACTTCCTCAGGCTCACATGTGTTTGGTCCCAACCCCACTATGGCTGTCCCATCAGGAGCCAGGATACACAGAGCACAGGTGGGAACATCTGCCTCTCCCAAAAGAGGTCACCCAGTCCCAGTGGAAGCAACTGAAGCATTATTAGTCAGGTTTACCCTCTTCTGTGTACACGATAAGCATAGTAAAAGCGACCTGCAAACGGGGACAAAAAGATTGCACTTTGTTCTGACGAATAAAGGTGCTGCTTGGGTTGTGTACATTAAAAATGCAGTTCTCTTCTAGCTCAACTCAGTGTTATGCCTCAAGACTGAAAACTGAAGGGGAGGAGTTGCATTGTTTGAAGGATTCAAGAGCCCCCATACACTTTGCATAAGACTGCTATACCCCACAAATACTCCCTGGTAGTGCAAAAAAATAACCTCTCATTTAATCCCCCTCTGACTCCTAAAAATCTGCAACGAACAGGGAAGGTAAAACTTAAACTACCTGCTGTTTTCACAGGTTAAAA